ATGGAGGCCTAGTTAGTAAAGGGCAAAGCCAGGTTTTAAATTATGATCTGACTTAAACCATGTCCTCACAATACTTCATTAACCCAATAAAGTAATCTATAAGTATTATTAGTTCAAAGGACTGATTTACTTGTTTCTCTTCCAGGCCACATCATAGAGTTGCTACCACACAGCTAAGAGAAACAAACTAGAATTTGACAACACTGCATTTTGGAACATGATCTCCAGCTGGCATCTGTTAGAGTATGCTGTTCCATGCAGAAACATTCACAATAGAAATGTGTGTGCACTCCTGGGGACACCACTGCAAACTTGGCTGAACACTACAGACACTATTGAATGTCCAAAGAGTGGCTGCCCATTTATAGTGACTATAAAATAAAAATAAGTGTGCCAAATGTAAGCAAGGCAAGGGTTAGAAATGGCAATAAGGGCCGGGCTCGGTGGCTCAGCCTGTAATCCCAGCACTTTGGGAGGCCGAGGTGAGTGGATTGCCTGAACCTGCGGGTTCGAGACGTCCCTGGGCAACTTGGCGAGACCTCATCTCTACAATAAATCAAAAAATTAACTGGGTGTGGTAGCGTGCGCCTGTAGTTCCAGCTACTCGGAAGGCTGAGGCGGAAGGATCGCTGGAGCCCAGCAGGTCGAGGCTGCGGTGACCAGAAGCGGCTACTGCACTCCAGTCTGGGTGACAGAGTGAGACTCCAACTCAAAAAAAAAAAAAAAAAAGAAATAATAATAAGAACAGAATATTATGTGTGCTTTCTGCCTGTGGCAACAATTGACTCTCCCAATAATATAAGGGAAGTTGTCCAGTTGCTTGCTACTGCATAAAATCAGTTTTTCCAACTCCAGGTAGATTTTTCTTTCTGGACAGGGTCAGAAATCAGTAGGGCAAAGGAAGCTAGCTCCTTTGGATGCTCACTGGCTGCCTGAACTTTGAAGTCCATGATTTATTGCCCTGAGTGGTGCTGGGCAAGATGAGGGCAGCCTGGGAAGGATGTCCTGGCTCTCTCTGGAGCCTGTCCTCTTTCGTTTTTGTGATGTGGCACATATTCAAGGACTTGTCCTGTACTACACCCTGTGGCTGTTCAACAACTCAGATAGCTACTAAATACTATTGGTGGTTACTGAGTAACCCATAGCTTAACTATTGGTTCTCAAACATTCTGTATGACTCACATGTTATAAACTAGTGTATCCTTTCCAGATTCAGCTCACTCTCACACTTTGTACACACTGCTATTTCAGTCATGTCTTTGTCTCTCCAACCAAATCCTGAGCTACTTGAGGTCAGGAACCGAGCCACTGAACTCTATTATCACATCCTAGGGTGGCTGGCAAAGATGAAAATCAAATACAAAATGTTTGACAATCATAGTATGGTAGTTTTTAACACCTCCATCAGATTCACCTAGGAAGTTTGGTGAACTGGAACCAGGATGTCTGGGAGAGGCCCAGGAATGTACATGTTTGTCTTAGATTTGGGGTCTCACTCTTACCCAGGCTGGAGTCCAGTGGTACGATCATAGCTCACTGCATCCTCGAACTCCTTGGCTCAAGTGATCCTTCCACCTCAGCCTACTGAGTAATTGGGACTATAGGCACATACCATCATGCCCGGCTAATTAAACACTACTTTATTTTAGAGACTAGGATCTCCCTATGTCGCCCAGGTTGGTCTCAAACCCCTGGCCTCAAGTGATCCTCCTGCAGTGAGCCACTGCACCTAGGAATGTACATTTTATTTTATTTATTATTTATTTATTTTGAGTTAGAGTCTTACTCTGTCACCCAGGCTGGAGTACAGTGGCACGCTCATGGCCACTGCAGCCTCGACCTACTGGGCTCAGGCGATCCTTCTGCCTCAGCATTCCAAGTAGCTGGAACTACATGCATGGGCCACCACGCCTTGCTAATTTTTTTGATTTATTGTAGAGATGAGTTCTCACCAAGTTGCCCAGGTTGGTCTCGAACCAGGAATGCACATTTTAAAGAAGCCCTTCAGGAGACAGCAGAAGTCTGGGAATCTTTAGTTTCCAAATAAATACAAATATGTACAAGTAAACATTTATATGCCTAAGTATAGCTCTAGACAAGGTATGGGTATGGTGTGAATAAAACAGTTTAATACTTCCAATTCTTTTCTCACCAGTCCCTCCTCTCTCCACTACCTGAATCATCATTCCACAGCAAAACTGTGGCCAAGTCCCTCCTTTGTTCAGACCCTGCTAGAAGAAAATAAAACCCACAGTCATAAGTTAGTCATTGATTCTTTATGGCCTACAAGCAATCTTCATCACTTTTTAACTTAGAGCATAATCTCTGGAGCAGAACGAATGAGTTGAAATCCTAAGTCCACCAATTATTAGCTGCATGACCTTAGGAGAGTCGCTTAATCTTTTTGTGCCTCCTGTGCCTCATTTATAAAATAAGGATGTTAATTGTACCTGCCTGATTAGGTTGTTGAGAGGATTAAATGAATTAATACAGAGGGCACCAAAAAAAGTATACATTTTATTTTGTTTTGAGTTGGAGACTCACTCTGTCACCCTGGCTGGAGTGCAGTGGCATGCACCCAGCGAGTATTACAATTTTAATAGTTTTTTCCTTTCTTAAAATGTACACTTTTGGCTGGGCGCAGTGGGTCAAGCCTGTAATCCCAGCATTTTGGGAGGCTGAGGTGAGAGGACTGTCGGAGCCCAGGGGTTTGAGACCAGCCTGGACAACTTGGTGAGACCTCATCTCTACAATAAATCAAAAAATAAGCCGGGCGTGGGAGCGCTCGCCAGTAGTTCCAGCTACTTGGAAGGCTGAGGGAGAAGATCGCCTGAGCCCAGCAGCTCGAGGCTGCAGTGGCTGTGAGTGTGCCACTGCACTCCAGCCTAGGTGACAGAGTGAGGCTCCGACTTAAAAAAAAAAAAATCCTGCTTGTTGGCCATTTCCCCATATACTCGCATTGTTCCCTCTATCTGTAACACAACTTCACAACATCTCTGGGTTAAGTATCCAACTGACAAGACCCAAATCAGCTGTCACTTTAGTTTTTAATGGCCAACTCCTCCTACACCCAAATTAATCTTTCCTGCCTCTGTGTATTAATGGAACTTTTATTTGTGTATGCTTTCTTATCTCCTGCACTATAATTCCCCTGGAGAGGCTGGTAGGGTTGAAACAGTATGGTTTTAGGAGACTGATCTAGGTTCCAAACTTGTTCACCATTTATTGTCCCTGAGCCTCATATTTCCCACTGATCAGTCTAGGATAGTATCTACTTTGAAGGGCTGTCGGGAGGTTTAGATGACAAACTCTGTCCATAATCAAACAAAATTTGCTACATGGTTGGCATTATTAGAATTACCAGCCAGGCGTGGTGACTCATGCCTGTAATCCCAGCACTTTGGGAGGCTAAGGTGAGAGGACTGCCTGTGCCCAGCATTCGAGACCGGCCTGGGCAATTTGGCAAGACCTTGTCTCTGCAGAAAATGAAAAAATTAGCTGGGCGTGGTGGTGCGCGCCTGAAGTTCCAGCTACTTGAAAGGCTGAGGCAGCCGGCTCGGTGGCTCGGCCTGTAATCCCGCACCTTTGGGAGGTTGAGGTGAGTGGATTGCCTGAGCCTGCGGGTTTGAGACCCGCCTGGGCAAGTTCGCAAGACCTCATCTCTACAATAAATAAAAAATGAGCCGGGCGTGGTAGCGCGCGCCTGTAGTTCCAGCTACTTGGAAGGCTGAGGCAGAAGGATCGCCTGGGGCCAGCCAGGTCGAGGCTGCGGTGGCTGGCAGCGGCCACTGCACTCCAGTCTGGGCGACAGATTGAGACTCCAACTGAAAAAAAAAAAGAAAGGCTGAGGCAGAAGGATCGCCTGAGCCCAGCAGGTTGAGGCTGTGGTGGCCATGAGCTTGACATTGCACTCCAGTCTGGGGGAGAGAGTGAGACTCCGACTCAAAAAAAAAAAAAAAAGGAATTATCAATAGCAGTATTTACTGCCGAAAGCTTGAGCCACTCCCCCCCTCAAAAAAAAAACCCTTCCCTAAAGAAGTAGTTTTTCCGTCAAGTTTATGGAGCTACTTTGGGAAACGCAGAGCAAGTCGGTTGGTTGTTTACAAAACAGCAGTGACAAAAATACCAAAACCATCCCATTAGCACGTGCAATCCGTGCAGCCTCCGGGTGTGCTGTGGTAGAGAGCAAAGCGCCTTCCTATTGGCTTTTCGATGCGTGACGTCAAGACCACCCACAAAGGACCGACCAATGGGTTTCGGCGGGGAGGACCCAACGGCGACATCTGAGAGCAGGATAGCATCTGGGCTGACTTTCTCTTCACCAAACTTAGGGGACAGCCTCCTGCCCGCCAAAGATCCCCAGTTAGACACAACCTGACTCCCGTTGGTCCCCCTCTTTTTAATAAAAGAGAACTCCCTTTTGCACAAGTTCAGACTTCTGGGCCGTGAGGCTTAGAATCAGAAGAGCTGGATGCTAGCCCGGTCTCAGTGTGACTTTGGGGTTTCACTTTCCCAAATGAAAAGCGGGGAACAATCACTCTCCCTTGGGCCAAGAACGCACCTCGCCAATTACACCGTAAGCTCAGCCTGGCGACTATCAGGAGCCCCATCAATTCTGGCTGGGCCGCTGCAAGTTGAGGTCGGCGCTACTAGAACCCCAGTGATTCCCCACCAAGGTGTACGGAAGAGACGCCTCCTCATTCTCTCCCTAGGGAGACCCTGGAACGAATGGCTCTGATCTCGACCTCCGACAGAACGCAGGCAGGGCCCAGCGACAGGCGGTACCGACGTGGAGCTCTCGAGAACAAAGTTGAGGTCTTCACCCCGCGGGCAGGAATGAGGTTGCCCAGGACCCGGGCCTGGGTGAGGAAAAAACCACGCGCCTTCTCGGACCCACCCGGGGCGGCTCGGCCGAGGAAATTCCCACTTCGTTTTCTACACCACGCCCCGAAATCGAATTCCAGCCGCCCCCTTATCATCCCAGCCATGCCATGGCTTACCATTCCACTCTTCCCGGGGCTAAGCCGGCCATCGTCCCCCGCCCAGACCCTGCAGAAGCGGAAGTAACTTAAGACGGACTGAAGAGGAGAGTGCCCCCGGCCCGCTACCATAGAGTAGAGGCTGCACTCGTTTGCCAATCTCCTCAACCCCGTGACCTCCCCGCCGCCTAGAGCGGCCACTCCCAGGGCAAGGAAGTGAGCGCATGCGTACCACCGCAGATCCCGCCCCTTCCTCTTCATTGACAGACCCAGAGTATTTGTCAACTTGTTTCTGTACCCGGAGGCTATAGGTCTGCCTAGAATTAAAAGATCGCACTGGGTTCCCCACAGGACTTTTTGCCCTTACATTTTATGCAGAAAATTATAGAACCATAGCCACAGTTATATTTGCGATGTTGAGAGTCGGAATTGCAATGACTTATCATCAATTTCTCTCCCCCGCCGCTCCCCACCCCCCAGCGTCTTGATCTGTTGAGAACTCGTTCTGATGATCTATTTTAAATTGCAGATCTGCCGGGCGCGTTGGCTCACGCCTGTAATCCCAACACTTTGGGAGGCGGAGGCGAGAGGATTGCCTGAGTCCAAGGGTTCGAGACCAGCCTGGGCAACTTGGTGAGCCGTCGTTAATATAAATAAAAAAATTAACTGGGGTGGTGGCGTGTGCCTGTAGTTCTAGTTACTTGGAAGGCTGAGGTAGAAGGTCGTCTGAGCTCAGCAGGTGTAGGCTGCTGTGGCCGTGAGCATGCTACTGCACTTTAGCCTGGGTGACAGAGCAAGACTTCAACTAAAAAACAAACAAAAACATAAATTGCAGTCCCAGAGATGGCTAAAGTGCTAGTTTGAGAAATTTATTTTTGTCTTTCTTCATTCTTCTTTCCCTCTCTCCCTCTCTCCCTCCTTCCCCTTCCTCCCTCTCTCCCTTCCTTCTGTCATTCTAGGACAGGATCTTGCTCTGTCACTCAGGCTGGTGTACAGTGGCAGTATACGTCCTATGCTTAAGTGATTCTTCCGCCACAGACTCCCAAGTACCTATTATTTCAGGCAGGTGCTATCATGCCCAGCTAATAAAATTTTCTTGGTGGAGGTGGAGTCTGACTATATTACCCAGGCTGGTCTCAAACTCCTGGCCTCAAGCGATGCTCCTGCCTAGGTCTCCCAAACTGTTGGGATTACAGGCATGAGCTCCTGCATCTGGCCTGGCATTTGCTTTTCTACCTATCAAATTAACAAAGATGTAAAATATCGGTAGTTAAAAAAAAACAACTAAGCTCCCTGATTGTGTACTGAGTGAATAAATTCATTTATTGGAGGATAATGTGGCAGTAGGTATAATAATTTTTAAAATTTGTGGTAGAAGATACATAAAGTACAATTTACTATTTTAACTTTTTTTTTTGAGTTGGAGTCTCACTCTGTTGCCCAGGCTGGAGTGCAGTAGCACACTCACAGCCACCACAGCCTCAACCTGCTGGGCTCAGAAGATCTTTCTGCCTCACTACAGTTCCTTCTGGAACTACAGGTGTGCACCACCATGCCTGGCTAATATTTTTGTTTATTGTGGAGATGAAGTCTAACCATGTCGCGCAGGCTGTTCTCGAACCTGTGAGCTCAGGCAATCCTCTCACCTCTGCCTCCCAAAGTGCTGGGATTACAGGTGTGAGTTACCGTGGCTTATTTTAACCATTTTAAAGTATGCAGTTTGGTGACTTTAAGTACTTAAACATTGTGCAGCTATCACTACTATCCATCTTCAGGACATTTTCATCTTACCAAACTGAAACTCCATTCCCATTACACACTTTTTTGGGGGATAGAGTCTGGCTCTGTTGCCCAGACTAGAATGTAGTAGCACTATTATATATAGCTCACTGTAACTTTGAACTCCTGGCCTCAAGAAATTCTCCTCCCTCAGCCTCTAGAGTATGTTTCCCAGGCTGGTCTTGAATTTCTGGGCTCAAGTGGTCCTCAATTTAGGAAAGTTTTGGGATTACAGGCATGAGGCACCACAATGAGCCCACATCAAATATTTATACAGTACTTCATAATTCATGTACCTTACTACCACTGATATCACCACAGTCTCAGGAAATTGAGGTTTAGGAAGGTCGAATACATCCCAGAGCTAATAACAAATGGTTTAGCTACTCTTTGAAAACAGGTCTTCTAACCAACTTTATAGTCTGCTTTTGTGAAAGATCAAGGTGAATTCATTCATTCAACCCATGTTTATTGAGCACCTAGTACGTGTCAGCCCAATGCCAGGCTTTGGTAATCAACAGCAACCCCAAAACGATTTACAACTCCATTAGGGCAAGAGAGCTTAAGTTGCACTCTTTATAGTATTTCTAGTGGCTAGTGCAGTAAAAGTCCCACAGGTTAGGCCCAGTGCAGCGATTCACACTTGCAATTCCAGCACTTTGGGAGGCTGAGGCAGGAGGATTGCTTTAGGCCAAGAGTTCAAGACCAGCTTGGGCAACATAGTGAGACCCCTTGTATCTATTAAAAATAGGAGTAATAAGAAAATGGTCTCGGCTTTACTTCCCTGATCACCTGAGTAACACTCCCCATTATTCTCTATTACAGCATCCTACTCTTTCTCTTTTCTTTTTTTGAGTTGGAGTCTCACTCTGTTGCCTACGCTGGAGCGCAGGGGCACGCTCACTGCCACCGCCGCCTCCGACCTGTTGGGCTTAGGCGATCCGTCCGCCTCAGCCTTCCAAGTAGCTGGAACTACAGACGCATGCCACCATGCCCGGCTAATGCTCTTTTTCTTTACAGCGATTGTCAAGCGTTTCCAAATCGCAAGTTTGATTCCTGCCTGAATTTCCCCTTACCCCAAGTTTAAGGAACAATGGGGGCAGGGACCATGTTTTTATGTTCATCACTATATTCGCACCCCTATCAGTGTTTAGCACATAACAGGAATCCAGGAAATGTTTCCTGATCAACTGGATGTGGGGGCATGTATATTTCTTTATCTAAAGTAAATACCCGCATACACGCCTTGGGGATTTACATAACCTTGCTCCTCTCGGGTTCCTGGACGACGAGGAGGCAAGCCTTGGCCCCGCCCCCGCCGCTGACGCAGACACTGACGCAAGTGCAGCGGGCGCGCGCTGTTTCCGGAAGTCGCCGCCGCTGTCTCCGCTGCTGCTACCTCCGCGGTCGCCGCGGAACTTTGCGAGTAGGACGGCTGAGGCGGGCTCGGGCGGGGCCGGGGCTCCGGCCACGCTGCAGCATGGAGATAATCAGAAGCAGTGCGTGTCCGCCGTGCATCTCCCCGCGTCCCCACACCCAACCCCCGGGTCGCTAGGCCCAGGCCATGGCCGGCCTGTTTTGCTGGGCCTGGGTGTAAGGCAGCCCCCCGGGGCTTTGCCTCCTTTAAGCCCGTGCGCTTCTCGGGGCCTTGTCCCGCTGCTTACCGTGCACCCTCCGACTCGGGCGCCGCTCGCGACCTTGCCCTTTGCCGGCTTGTACACCCCTCGGGGCGTGGACCCCTCTGGCCCTTGCACCTCTCGGGTCTTATCCCCCTCCAGCCGCTGCACACCTTCGAGGCTTGTCCCCTTCCGGCTCTCCTTCCCTTTCCCCTTAGGAGTCCGTGGGTAGGAATTCAGGATTCTGAGCCTCTTCTCGGTTTCTCCGCAGATTTTAAGAGTAATCTTCACAAAGTGTACCAGGCCATAGAGGAGGCGGACTTCTTCGCCATCGATGGGGAGTTTTCAGGTATCCCTTCCTTGCAAACTCAGGGCTGGCCCTTTGCACTGCGTAGCCAAGAATCCTTCAGTCTCTCAGCCCCTGATTTCTTGTGCCTGTTGGCGACTCCTCGCTGTTTGTAGCCCCGAGTGGGTTGCCTAAGTCTCAACGTTTCCCCTTCAACCTTTCAAAAGGCTAGAAGAGATGAAGAGATGCCGTGGATTTGTGATTGTTTGGACTCAGGATTGCGGATAGAGGTTATGGTTTGGGTGCTGCTTAAAACAGTTTGACATATACATGGTAGAAAGTTTGAGGATTAGGGTCAGGCCTTGTTTTTGTTTTTCTTTGGGGTAAAATATGTATAACATTGAATTTACCATTTTAATCATTTTTAAGTGATCTTACAGTTCACTGGCATTAAGTACATTCACGTGATGCAACCGTCACTACTTATCTCTAGAACTTTTTCATCTTCCCAAACTGAAACTTATATATTGAACTGTTACTCCCTTCCCACCATTTGTCTTTATGAATGTGATTACTCTAGAAACGTAAGTCACATAAGTCATATAAATGGAATCATACAATATGTCCTTTTGTGACTGATTCTGGTCAGGCTTTTGCAGGTAAATGAGGATATTCCTATGTGCATTAGTGAAAGTGTTCAGTGCTTACTTAGGCAGGTGTGTGTGTAATCACGGGTCGGCACCTCACTCAGCTCAAAGGCAGGGATACAGGTGAGCCCCGAGCCTGACTTTATCAACACTTGTAATTGCAGGATTTTTTTTTTTTTTTTTTGAGTAGGAGTCTCACTCTGTCTCAGGGCTGGAGTGCAGTGGCACGCTCACAGCCACCCCAACGTTGACCTGCTGGGCTCCAGCCATCCTTCCACTTTAGCCTTTCAAGTAGCCAAACTACAGGCATGTACCACCACACCTGGCTAATTTTTTGATTTATTGTAGAGACAAGGTCTTGCCAAACTGCCCAGGCTGGTCTCGAACCTCTGGGCTCAGGCAGTCCTGTCACCTCGACCTCCAAAGTGCTGGGATTATAGATGTGAGCCACCACACCCAGCCCAATTACAGGATTTTTTTCATTTCTTTCTTTTTTTTTTTTAGGAGATCAAAGACTAACTTTTATTTTATTTTTAATTTTTTAATTTTTTTTGAGCTGGAGTCTCACTCTGTCACCCTAGCTGGAGGGCAGTTGCATGCTGCCCGCCATCGCAACCTCGACCTACTGGGCTCAGGTGATCCTTCTGCCTTAGCCTTCCAAGTAGCTGGAACTACAGGCAGCGCCATCATGCCGGGTTAAAGGACTAATTTGGAGGCTGGAGGCTGAGGTGAGTGGATTGCCCGAGCCCGTGGGTTCGAGACCTGCCTGGGAAACTTGGCGAGACCTTATCTCTACAATAAATCAAAAAATTAACCCGGCGTGGTAGCACGCGCCTATAGTTCCAGCTACTTGGAAGGCTGAGGTGGAAGGATCGCCGGTGCCCAGCAGGTGGAGGCTGCGGTGACCGGGAGCGGCCACTGCACTCCAGTCTGGGAGTGCAGACTCCAACTCAAAAAAAATAAATAAATAAAAATAAAAAAATAAAGTAGTAATTTTTAAATTGTTGATATCAATATGATTGGTTCTCCCCCTTAGGTATAGAATCCAATTTGGCCACCCGATGTTACATATTTACAAAACTCTAGCTCTTTCTAAAGGAAGTCATGCAGGGGTAAATATGATGCTTAGCTTTAAGCATGTAGTTTCCAGTTGGAATCAATTCCTTAGGAAGCTAAGAGTTTTCACCAAAAATAATTTTCTCTTGACCTTGAAAATACATTTGTTGGCCAGGCTCGGTGACTCAGTCTGTAATCCCAGCACTTTGGGAGGCCTAGGTGAGTGGATTGCCTGAACCCGTGGATTTGAGATCAGCCTGGGCAACTTGGTGAGACCTCGTCTCTACAATAAATAAAAAATTAGCCAGGTGTGGTAGCACGCGCCTGTAGTTCTGGCTACTTCGAAGGCTGAGGTGGAACGATTGCCGAACCCAGCAGGTCGGTGCTGGGGTGGCTGTGAGCATGCCACTGCACTCCAGCCTGGGCAATGGAGTGAGACTCCAACTTAAAAAAAAAAAAAAAAAGAAAATACATTTGTTGTATAGATGTTATGCTAACTCTTGACCAAGATTGGTTCTTTAGCAATAATATACTTAAGGATTCATTGATGTCTGATTATGCATTAATTCTTTTCTTTCTTTCTTTTTTTTTTTTTTTGCACTGATTCTTTATAAAGCAACAAAACTTCAAGTGTGGAGGTTGTTTTCTTTTTTGAGTTGAAGTCTCGCTCTGTCACCCAGTCTAGAGTGCGGTGACACGCTCACGGCCACTGCAGCCTCAATCCGCTGGGCTCAGGTGATCCTCCTGCCTTAGCCTTCCAAGCAGCTGGAATTACAGGCATGTGCCACCATGCCTGGCTAATTTTTTTTGATTTATTGTAGAGATGAGGTCTTGCTAATTTGCCCAGGCTGGTCTCGAACTTGTGGGCTCAGTCAGTCCTGTCATCTCAGCCTCCCAAAGTGCTGGGATTATAGATGTGAGCCACTGTGCCCGACTGGAGGTTGTTTTCTTAAATAATTATTGTTTTGAATTTTAGACACAGGAACTGCCTATTCTCAAGTTGAAACATTCACATCTCTAAGTTCATTATTAGAGGGCTTAACTTGGTGGCCAGTAAAATTAATCATAATTTGGAAAAAGTGAGTTAGCAAGCAATTTCAATTAATTTGTGATATGAAATTATAGAAGCATTAAATAGTTGACTGGCATTTTTACATTAGCATTTATTAATAGGTTAAAAGCTTTTTTATTTCTTAAAATCTAGGAATTAGTGATGGACCCTCAGTCACTGCTTTAACGAATGGTTTTGACACTCCAGAAGAAAGGTATCAGAAGCTTAAAAAGGCAAGTGGATATGCTAGAAAATCTTTTTTCTCATGTTTGTTAAATTGTAGAGAAATATCATGATTAAAATTGTGCATTACAGTTTTCTGAGTACAGCACTTCTTCTCAAACCCAGCTATGAAGTGATATTTTATTTTATTTTTGAGTTGGAGTCTCACATTTTTGCCCAGGCTGGAGTGCAGTGGCACACTCACAGCCACTGCAGCCTGGACCTGCTGGGTTCAGGTGATCCTTCTGCCTCAGCCGTCCAAGTAGCTGGGATTGCAGGTACATGGTACCATGCTCGGCTAATTTTTGATTGGTTGTAGAGACAAGGTCTTGCCACGTAGTCCAGGATGGTCTCGAACCCCTTGGCTTGGCCTCCTAAAGTGCTAGGATTATAGGCTTGAGCCACAATGCCCGGCCTTTAAGTGATATTTTAAACAGCAAAAATAATCGTTTGCTGGAAAACATTTTGAGGAAGGCTTAGTATTTTCAGTGTTAATTTGATTTATAGGAAATAAGATATAATTCTTTGAATCATTTGAAAATAGGCCTAATATGTTCTGGATAATGGACAGTTGTTTAACTGGAAAAGGTAACAAATGTACATAAATTAATAATGCTTCTGATTAATAATATGTGTAATGTGCTCTAATCAGAAGTATTTTGCCAAAGCTTAGTTGAATAATTCAGAAAGCCTACCTGTTTGAGAATACTGTTGCTCATGGCAAACCTGCAGCAGCATTGTGACATATGTTTTGTTTCTCTTTTCCAGCATTCCATGGACTTTTTGCTGTTTCAGTTTGGCCTTTGCACTTTTAAGTATGATGACACAGATTCAAAGTAGGTTATCTTAACAAACCTTGGGAATTCTTTTGTGGCATAATGTAACTCCCTAAATCTCTTTTTATCTTATTTTCCTAGGTATATAACGAAGTCATTTAACTTCTATGTTTTCCCAAAACCCTTCAATAGATCCTCACCAGATGTCAAATTTGTCTGTCAGGTAAGTAGCATAATTGAATTTTGTCTTCTAGCATTGCTGATGAAGCAGTGTGGAAATGTGGAATCAGATTTTGGTTCTAATACTAACTTTGAGCTTTGCCGCAAATCATTTCACCTCTCACCTTCAGTTTTAATGTTATACTACTTTCTTTTTTTTTTTTGAGTTAGAGTCTCACTCTGTTACCCAGGCTGGAGTGCAGTGACTCAAGAGATCCTTACTCCTCAGCCTTCCAAGTACCTGGAACTATAGGTGCACCATCATGCCCAGCTAATTTTTTTTTTTTTTTGAGTTGGAGTCTCACTGTCGCCCAGACTGGAGTGCAGTGGCCGCTTCTGGCCACCTCAGCCTCGACCTGCTAGGCTCTGGCGATCCTTCCGCCTCAGCCTTCCAAGTAGCTGGAACTACAGGCGCGCGCTACCACGCCCAGCTAATTTTTTTGAATTATTGTAGAGATGAGGTCTTGCCTGCCCAGGCGGGTCTCGAACCCGCGGGCTCAGCAATCCACTCACCTCAGCCTCCCAAAGCGCCGGGATTATAGGCTGAGCCACCGAGTCCGGGC